TGGACCGTGAGAATATATCAAAACATCGGAAAAATAAAGGTGGCTTACTTTCCCTTTTGGTGAAATACATTATCAGGTTTCCGGGTAGAAAAAGTTATGGGGATTCATTCATTAAAAATTATTATTAGTTAATACACCAATTACCCCAAATAACTAATCATAACAACTTGTTCTTGCTCGTTTTTGCTTTAAATAAATAAAAATCACTCACTTGATATAACGTCAATCAGTAACAGTACTATTTCGAACAAATACCCAAACGTCTGTACATCACATGACCAATGCACGAGAATATGATCGAACTAAACACTGTATTAGTTTTTATTGCGGGTAGTATCACTTTCACAGATTACATCATAGGTGAAAATGATACCATTATTAAATATTACTAATCCTTCTACTAAACACTGATATTAAACCTAATAATCCCTGCAGAATATCAGCAAGCTCGTGCCTGAATATAATTTAAGTGAATTTATTATTTCATTTCCTAAAATTTTGTTGCTTAAATTGAGTGCGTTTGAGAAGTTGCCACATGTAAGGCGTTGATAGTTGCCATTAATCTTATCACGCCGAGAGCCGCTTCATTTACCACATGGCCCTCGGCGCTTCTCGAATAGACCGTCTAGTTAGACCCGCATATACAGGGTTACCATTTATACAAGTTTCCTCGATTTTGTCCTACTTTGAAAAACGTCCTGAAATACGTCTGGATGAAACTTTAAATATTATCCAAACTTCATGTTGTCATTTAAGTTGTTACTCGGAAACTTAGCTAAGCACGGGAGCGTTTGAGGTATACCGTTTTGCTCCTTAGATGCCATCAGAGTACCAATTGAGGGTTGAATATAATATTTCCCGTTGTAGATTTTGGATCGTTATTTCTTGACATTTTACTAATGTTGCTTTTGTTTTTTTCAGGATCACCAGTTGTGGTGGTAATCTCGATCGTTTAATGTTATTGTTGTGGTTTCACTTTTAAAATAAGGGATCAAATAGATTTTAAATGATAATATGTTATCTAATAAGTAATTTGTCAATTATAGCAAACAGGAGAATCCAATATTTTGCAAGACATTATTACCAAGAGTATATAGCAAAAATTTGACCTCTTCTTTTATAAAAAGAACGGTGTTGTGAACTAAAGTGTTTGTGTGTACATATATTCTTTAAGTTTCATGTGCAGCTGCCACGGGTGAAATCTCTCTCTCTCTCTCTCTTTTCAGCATAAAAAGAAAATGGTTACCCGCACCCGTTCTTGTCATCACGCCTGCCAATGACGTGACATAGCAAATTAAAATGTGTAACTCGAAAAGCTGGGGTAAATTATCTCATTTTCCAAATTTACGAATGGCAACCCTACACATAGATATTAAATAGGAAGAGCTCTTCACTTCACCGAAATGCCTTTTCCATTGTTCTAAGTTTAATCTATTAAGAACTACTTTAGGAAATACGTATTTGTCTCTTGAATAAAAACATGAGGAATAGATTTTATGTATCATATCACAAAACGCTATTTGAATACGAGTTCAATTTAAAAAGTATTAATTCAAAATGGCGATTTGTAAATCAAGTACCACTCCTCTCCCTCAAAAGTAAACGATTACTTATTATTGATCTAGCGGTGGATAATATTAAATTATATCCTATAAATAACATTTTCATATAATACTACCATACTGTTCATTACTTATCTGTTATAAGTACAACATTTTTTTTAAACGGCTGAGAGCCACGCTTCGGCATGAATGGGCCGGCTCGACCGGAGTGATACCACGGCCTCACAGAAAACCGACGTGTAGCAACGCTTGCGTTGTGTTTCGTCGTGTGAGTGAGGGTACCGGAGGCCCAACCCCTCCCTATTCCCTTCCCTCTACCCCTCAACCCTTCCCCCCCTATGATCATATTCGACCCTCAAAGGCCGGCAGCGCGCTTGTGGCCCCTCTGGTGTTGCAGGTGTCCATGGGCGACGATAATCACTTACCATCAGGTGATCCATCTGCTCGTCTGTACCCTATCCCATAAAACAAGTACTAGCATTACTAGCCTAACAAATACAGATTTCTAAGACTTCAGGAAGCACCTCATGAATTTTGTAATCATCGGTGAGTGTTCACAATTGTCTTGAGTTTTGACAGCTATTATAACCTCAAAACATTATTTACAAATTACGAATCTCCCTGGAATTCAAATAAAAAGATGCTAAGATATTATTATATTTTAAGCAAAAACTAATTTAAGTTATCACTGATTGTGGTTAAAGAACATCTGATAAGTCAATCAACGTATGGAAAATGGACATGATTTATTATTATAATATAATAGATAAGTCCATTATTGACATAATATCCCGGGACTTTTGCCTATCTGGTACAATCAAAACCAAACAATGGGGGTTCAAAAAAGCGAGTCGAGAAAAGTAGGTTGCTCTTTGTTTGGCTCGTCGTCTTGAAAGCCACATCCGGGGCCCCAAATAAAAACAAATTGTTCTAAGAATTTAAACCAAGATACCCACCTTGTATAAATCTAAGCTAAATATATGTTATTCTAACGATTTCCCTTTGTTACATTCCGCCATATTAATTTGTTATTGAACAAAATTTTAATATTGATAAAGAAGCAGTCGTTCTCATAGCTAAAGAGTTCCAGTAGAAAAAGATAAATAGGACCCAAAAATATTTTGTTATGTCTTATTATGAATTAAATCATTTTAAACACTAGCAAACACCGAAAAAATGCTATAAATATTTAATGGAAAGGAAAATAATTCGGTGAGGCAGATGTTGATAAAAAAAGGTTTCATTAAATATGGAGGTCGTAGAATTTAATTCTTGTTTATCGAGTTTGCTGGGACGAGATAGCAGTTACTCCGGATTAAAACATTTTAACACAAAGTGATACAAACATCTGAAACAAACGCCACTACTAGATATGTAAAATTATATAAAACTCTGTCACAAACGCTTCAGTGATATTTTCAAACATAACTTAGTGAAATATAAAATAAAATCCTTTGCCGTGATATCCGTTAGTAAGGTTAATTATTAACTGACAGCAAAACAAAAACTGCTTTTTAGCTATTAGGTATGAAATTGTAACAATAGCAATTCTATTTCAGAGACTAGACTAAACAAAATATAGTTTTGTGTTCGCAGTTTGTCTACGTTTTCAATTCTGTTCAAGAACTACGATTACGTCTTACACCCGTATTTATAAACAAGCAAAAGCCATTACTTAAGTAAAAGTAATTGCTCAAGTAACAATTTTTATTCTATAGTTAAGAATTTGCTTGACATTAGAACTGTCTACAGTTAGAATTCTTAGCTGAGTAATAGTCACCGTTTCCTTTGCTTAAGCAATAAGAATACATTATAAATGACAGTTTCACTTGCGTGGTTTTAAATTGTTTAAGTAATTTCCTTATAGGTTGTTAGTTGGCGTTAGAAGTATTTAGTTGGCGTGCTTTTTTAAAATGGAAAGCATCGAAGCGATCGAAGCTACATTTGCTGTTATAGACAACATAGATGACGATATATTAGAGGAGATTGAAGTTGCTGAGCCTAGAAATCCCAAAGTATACTTTCGTGATGTAGATCCAGTACATGATTTTTCTGAAGATTTTTTTAAAAAGAGATTTCGTTTCCCCAAAAGTGTGGTTTTAAATGTGATTTTACCGCGAATTACAGAGTTTTTACAACCCGAAACTCGAAGAGGGCTACCTATAAGTCCACTGTGCCAGTTATTAACTGCCTTACGTTTTTATGCAACTGGTAGCTTCCAGATTGTATGCGGAGACATCATGCATATTTCGCAATCAACAGTCTGTGAAATTGTAAAGAAGGTCAGCCGCGCATTAGCGTTGTTAATGCAAGATTTTATTAAGTTTCCTACAAATTTAAGAAAAACAAAGGATGATTTTGAAAAGCTTGGACGTATAGGAAGAGCACCTGGACTGAAAAATATTGTTGGTGCAATTGACTGTACCCATATTAAAATCACAAAACCTAGAGGCATTGTTCATACAGAACAGTATCGAAACAGAAAGGGTTATTTCTCACTCAATGTCCAGGTGGTTGGTGGCCCTAATTTAATGATACATGATATAGTTGTACGTTGGGCAGGCAGTACTCATGATAGCCGAATCTTTAGGAACTCACGACTGAATATAAGATTATTAAATTGTGAAATTGATGGAGTATTACTTGCAGATGGAGGATACCCTTGCACCAGGTAGATATCTTATAAGTTAATAACTTTAACTAATTTAACGTTGAATAAGGAATAAGTAAGTAGGTACTTACCAAGATTTAAATGTCTACTATATATTTATAAAATATGTCTATTTATAATTTAGGCTAGGCTTATGTCTATCAGAAAATAATGACATATAAACAAACACATTTTCGCATTTATAATATTCATTTGAAAAAGAAACTCATTCATTCCATTGTCACATTAAAAAACTACTACCCGCTCAGCTAAGACCGTGACTGCACCTAATTCTTTCCACATAGGATTGTTTACCTTTACATACTTTGTCAAAATAATGCAAGAATGTTAATCTAAAAAATCATTTTTTATTTCAGATTTTTATTAACTCCAATTTCTAATCCCACAACTCTGTATGAGGAGAGATATAATAAAGTACAAATAAAATCAAGAAATTCAGTGGAACGATTATTTGGAGTATGGAAAAGACGGTTCCCATGCTTACAAAATGGTTTAGCAACCAAACTGTCAACAACTGCAAATATCATAGTGGCTTGTGCAGTCCTACATAATATAGCAGTGGAAGTGAACGACTATTTTGAAGATCCTGATGAAGAGATAGTCAATACAATTCAAAATAATGCTGAGTCTACCACTATAAGCGCAACGGGAACCACTGATGGTTTAGTACTTCGAGCTAATTTGATTGCTCGTTATTACACATTTTAAATAAAAATTATACATATGTTATTATTAAGCATAATATTTTATTAAATAAAATTTTGACATTATGACATACAGGTTTTAATTTTTTCTAATTCTTTCAATTTAATCTGTAATTCAATTTCATATATCTTTTCTTTGTGGTCTCTTTCTAATCTTTTTATTTTTAATTCTTCTTCATGTAGTTTTTTTTTAAATTCTAATTCTTCCTTTAATATTTCATATTTTATTGAATCAATTTTATTGCACTTCATGTCCTCAAAACGCCTTTTCTTCGATGTTTTATCATAAAGTATTTGCTCGTTTTTGTCCTCTTCTTTTTTTTGTTCTGGTACTGTACACCATGCGTCATCATTCGTATCACCCAATATTATTGTACTTCCTGTAAAATAAAAGGATATCTCATAAAACAGATACTTATAACATAAAATTAAAAACTATATACTTCTAATGGAAAACCAAAATACCAAGTAATTACCAAAAGTACTTTTAAAATAAATGTGATGGTATCTGAAAATATTTTAATTTTTTGTCTAGTGAGGATATTAATCTTGGAAGTGAAAAGAAGTTAAACACCTATTAACAGAAGTAGAACAATCTCTTACCATTTATGTCACTGTCGATATCCACTACTATATTAGTTAGGATATTTTTATCTATATCCATTACTTTTGCATCTATGGGATCCATATCCATAACAGATGGTCCTCCTCCAGTTAAGTGACGGACATTCTCTTTGGTTTTTGATTCCCTCGCTTTTGCCTTCATGTTGTACCATAATTTAGTCAATTGCTTTATCGATGCCTGAAAATTTTTATATAAATATTAATTAATACTACAATACAATAATATTGTAAAAATAATTATGATGAGTACCATAAAATGATTCTTATCTCATATAAAATCAAAGATACATCTTCGAGTGTTGCTTGATGTACTATTCATTATACCGAGATAACAAAGATCACCAACATTTTCTAGAACCTCTGTGTGTCATTCTATATCTATGCAACAAGAATGCATGAATGATGCAAAATTAATAAAAAGTAAAAAGTCGCCTATCTGTTTGGTTACAAGATCAAGCAAAAGAAATATGACTGAAGTGACTAATAGGTAAGTATGGATAAAATAGGTACCTACTTGCTGAGTAACAATAGAGGATTCATTAAATTCATGTAATATTTTCTCCCATGTTTGCTTCTTTTTTACGGCACTTGTAGCGTTTGTTTGTTTAGAGGTTAATATCGCATCATATTTTTGTATAACACTTAAGAACAACTCTTTTTCCAAACATGAAAACGGTTTCTTTCTCTCTACTTCAGACATTTTAGAAATAAAAATGTTAAGGTAATAAATTCCAAATAATTCAATACGACACCAATAAAGCAACTTAGCCAAATTTTCGGAAGTTTTGAAAAGTTTTTGACATGATATGACACCTTACTATGATAATAAATAAAAATCACATGTCAGTTGACTAGTCACAATGTAAATAGTAACCACCGTAATTTGGCAGTAATATCGTCGTGTCAAACGACAAACAAACGTTTTGTTTCATCTAATGTACTTTACTAAATATAATGTTTTAAATATACGTCTTTATTGATATAATCATTTTAATAACTATTACTTTTATTGTAATTGCACTATAAAATATTATTTAAGTTATTAAACGATGTGAAATGCAAGTTATTATCTTGTTCTCTTATGAAACGAAACGCAGTAATAAAATGTTGCCATTTGCTGCCAGAGAGAAACAAGCGTCGAGCATCGACCGTTACTTAAGCAAATGCTTAGACGAGTAACCTTTATTACTTAACTATAGAATAAGATTCTGTGCTTGAGAATTCTAACCTCAAGTAATGACTTAACTAAGAAATTACTTAGTAACAAGTAATTACTTGTTTATAAATACGGGTGTTAAACTCGTACCCAAACTCAGTTACGTCGTAGAGTTTCAATGAAATAACACCTTTATTACCTTTTGAAGTAGGTTTTATTTGATTGAACATCTATGAGGTGCCACCGTTATATTCGTCGACGAATTCAAGGCTGTTTTATTTAACAACATTATTGTGTTGTAATAAGAGATTAGGACTACAAATATTATTGAATATTTTTAATTTTAGAATGTTTATGAATCTGGTCTTTTTCAATTCTCAGTCATTGAGTACTTATTTAGACATTTGTTTAGAAATTATTTGGTTTTATTTTAGTCGAAAGGTTAAGACTTAATACTGTCTTTACATTTCTGAGTGAACAGAAATGTAAAGACAGTATCATCATTTTGTAATTTAACGCTATAATTTTCCTTACTTTTAATGAAGTATTGCTTTCAAAACATGAAACATAATATTTATAATATAATATTTATAATATAATATTTATAATATTATGTTTCGTCATAGATAACCTAAACTGAACTATAAGATGTGTTGTTTCTAACATACATTCATTAATTAAGTTAATATACAGGTACATGTTATAAGATACTTATATAGAATATGCAAGTTTGACGCCTCCGTCATCTAAGAATAAGCCATTATACGATGAACAATAACTTAGAGGAAATCCAAAGTCTAACACGGCCCGAAACTTGATTGATCATTGGAACTTACTCTTTTGTCTCTGTACTTTTCCATTACCTAAGTAAAATCTGGTTGTTCAGTGCGGTATGTTTTCATTAGTGATTTCAATTTACTCGTAAGAAATATATTTGCATTAACTAATTAATTTTGAAGACAAATGATTGATTAAAGCAATTAAAAACTATTTATATGTAGTTTAGTGTAATATAATTCGTTAATGAAATTTCGTTTTATAAAGAGTTTCGTATTTTATCTACTTTACGTGCTCTACTCTAGGACTCTATTAATTTCAAAATCAAAGATGGTGAAGTTACCAGCCTGGCATACACAGCATTCCATAGGTATTAGTATTTTAATAAAGGGAAAATGATACATGTCCAATTTCCATACATTGATTGACCTGTCACATGTTTTTTTATACGTCGCGTTTACCCACCATTAGTGATAATTTAAATAAGAATTTGCTTGGTATATTTGGTATAATAAAATAATATCTTAGCATTTTTTTTTCATTTGTAAGTGAGGAAGATTCGTAATTTGTAAATAATGTTTTGAGGTTATAACAGCTGTCAAAACTCAAGATTATTATGAAACACAGAATAACAATATTTTTTCCGAAGTAGATGAAACTATAATAAACTGTAATATATATATACAGCTTCACAGCCAGTTACATAACTGGCCGTTAAAAAAACGAACCGTCATTGGGTCCGAATCACATTCGGGTAGTTATTATCATAGCTATTTAAAAATATTTATGAGCATTGCAATTATTGTCCTGAATTTATTTTAAGATCAAAATTGGATTCTTTGTACATTGTTAATAACTGCGGCAAATTCACAATCTGCCCCGCGATTCTATAAAAATCCAAACCCGAATTCGAATTTAAAAAAGCGGCATCAGCCAAACCTTGAATAGGTAATAACTTTTCGTAGCATAAGTGAAGTGAGTTTAGAAATGACAAAGGATTAGAATATCTGAGACAGGTATATTCAATCAATTTTGGTTTGTATTTTTATACAAAAAAATGGAATCAATATAATTTTTACACCAAATGACGTGACGTGAATGACGTAAGGGAATTCCAATTCGAGTCTGGATGTTTACATAATCGCAGGGCAGTTTACGGATTTTCTAGGCAACTATTAATGTTTTTCCATTGGCATTTGTACAATTGTATAGGAATTCATTGGTATTTCTAAAACTAAACGCACATCAATCAGAATGGAACGCGCCGAAAGAAGCAAAAAAATAAAGTTTTGGTATTCTCTGTATTTGATTACATAAACCATCGTGCAAAGAAAATACGCCTCGTCTGCCTACTAGTGAATTTAGTAAAGTTAATTAAAAACGAATCTATACATTATGATATAAGTATCATTGCTTCTTCAAAATACCTTCAAAATGCCTACCTAAATATTATTACTATCTACTTTCAAGTCTTAATTTCTTTGTATCATGTTAGGCAGTGAACGTTGCCAATGTTTGTAAGACAGACATTACGATTAACCTCAAGACTACATGAAAGTTATGACTATACATTTATAAAATTTAATAGATAAGTATAATATACACTCGATCTACAAATTTAACGGAGTACCATCCTTCCAAATTTATAATTATAAACCAGAAATTATAACTAAAAAACATGTTTTCATTAAATGATTTCTATTTACCATTTCTATGCCAACGTTGTCTTAATCATATAAATAATAATTTTGTGCGCAGTTTTTGTTTGTCTCAGACTAACATTAATTTATGATCAAAGTACGGTTCGTGTTTTTCCCCAGTGAGCTACTGAAAATGAAAACTGAAACGCTAATGCTCATTCGTTGTTTTTGTTTAAAAAACATAATAATAAACCGTATAACTCTGTTCGTTTTTATTAGAAATTTCCACAGATGGATGATAATAATAGCTTTGAATAAATAACTGATAGATATATATATAGATAAATTCTTTATTTGCATCATGCATACACAAAATTTTACAAAATATTAGTAACTAAAACAGGACAATCAAACAGTATGTGTATGGGCGAAAACTCAGTGAGTATTTACTCAAAGAGCAAAGCACTGATTTTCAGTTTTTACCCTAATTACAAGTGGTCGCACTGTTAATATAAAAAAAAAATTCAAGAACTCACAAAGAAATTGATAATAGAACTACAATACTAACCAGACACTACAATAATACTAATAAATACTTACTAACTAAAATATGTAATAAACGTATAAGATATATAGATTAATAAAATAAATAAATACATAGTAATACCCATTATTAATTCGGTTCATTTGTTATTTCAAATTTATATAAATTTAATTACGCATATATCCTACTAATATTATAAATACGAGTCTGTGGGGATGGATGTATGTATATGTTTGTTACTCTTACACGCAAAAACTACTGAACAGATTTTGATGAAATTTGGCATGTACATAATTCTAAGCCTGGATTAACAGTTAGGTTACTTTTTATCCCACTAGTTTCCTAGGGACTGGACCAATTCTACAAATTCACCTACGGGAAGCTACATCCTACGTGGACGACATAGGCAATAATTTACGGAGATGAAGTCGTGGGGAAACAGCTAGTAATATTCGTAATCAACCTATTAATATCCATACTGCTGAGGAACAGATCTTCAAAATCGATGAAATTAAATAAGAAGCGCAATCATCAGCCCACCACATGGACCAAAATGGGTTTGTTGAGTGTTGACTGCATATATTGCTAACACTGACAGCCGTACTTTCTGAAGTTCGAAGGATCTCAACAGGATAATAAGGATGATGCCTAGGTTAAAAAAATTATCTATTTAATCTGTCAGTCAGACAGCTTGAATTTGTTTTGCTTCAATTTTCCAAAAAAAGTTTGTTAATAGGCATTAAAGTTGAGGAATGGCGGCTCGCTACGTCACAACTATGTAGAAAATGTATAGTGTGACGTCATGTGAAGTTTCAACTCGATGTATCGCCGTAATACATTGATAACGCAAAAAATACATGTTTTAAATTCTCTAATTATTTACCTGACGGATAGACACAAAAATTAGTCATCATTCCAATCTGTGGTCTGGTGATACTGCCTTTGCGAAAGTTGCTTAACCTACTCATAGTGCCATTGAGCTATTCAGGCACTACATATGAATAAAAACTCCTGTGTGAACTCTATACCTTTAACATGACATACTTAATTCTCATATTTCATTTTCTGGAACTCAATATTATTCTTTTATTTCATAAGTAGTAAAAGCTATGAGATCTTCAAATAAGACGGAGCTGAATTGAAAGTTATAAAATGTAAAAGACTTTATTTTATTTTAGTACTGTATAAAAAAAATGCGAACATAAATTAAATTGACAACATAATTAATTACGATAATAATACAGTATTGTACTTTTAATTGATACTTAAATAAAACAAATTAATTTTAAAGACAATCCGCTGCTTATCTTAAGAAATGTAGTAACCTATTTAATGCTTAAGCATATAGAATCCAGTAGAAATTTAATTAATCTTATCCAATAATTAATCAAGTCTCAGTACCAATAGGTTCTACATCTCTAAAGTCGCTTACTCGAACTCATGCGTTCTAGGAAACATTCACTCAATTAAAATCATTTAATGAAGTGCACAGTGTCAGTGGAATGAACGCAAGCAATTAGTGATTCGCTTTTCAATTAATGTTTACTGAACGAATTGCGTAATTTAATTAATATTTGTTGCGG